CCTTCTTCAGAAATGGGGGAGGGGAAGGGAGCTCTGAAATAAATAAACAGAGCAGGGGTGGGGCTGGGGAAGGTAGGTGGGATGGCGATAGGTGAGTGCAGGTAAGCAGTGGTGGGGATTGGTCAGTGAGGTGGGAGGAGCGGATAGGTGGGAGAGAAGATGGACAGGTCAAGGAAGCAGGGATGAGAGGGTGGGGCTGGTCTTGGGACGAGGCCGGGGGTGGGGAGATTTTGAAACTGGTAAAGTCCATATTGAGGCCATTGGGCTGTAGTCTCCCAAGGCGGAATATGAGGAGCTGTTCCTCCAGTTTCCGGATGGCGTCATTGTGACACTGGAGGAGGCCCTGGATGGACATGTCACCCAGGGAGTGGGAGGGGGAGTTGAAGTGGTTTGCAACGAGGTGTTGTCGTTTGTGGTGAACCGAGTGTAGGTGCTCTACAAAGCGGTTTCTGAGCCTCCGCTTGGTTCCCCGATGTAGAGGAGGCCACATCGGGAATAGCGGACACAATAGGCCATATTAGCGAATGTGCAGGTGAATATCTGTTTAATGTGGAAGGTTTTTTTGGTTCCTTGGATGGAGGTGAGGGGCGAGGTGTAGGGGCAGGTACAGTACCTCCTGTGGTTGCAGGGAAAAGTGCCGGGGGTGGTGGGGCTAGTGTGGAGTGTGGAGCAGACGAGGGAGTCATGGAGAGCGCGGTCCCTCCAGAAGGCAGATAAGGGTGGGGAGGGAAATATCTCCTTCGTAGTGGAGTCAGATTGGAGGTGGTGGAAGTGGCGGAGAATGATTATTTGAATCTGGAGGTTAATGAGGTGATATGTGAGGACAAGGGGAATTCTGTCTTTGTTTTTATTGCGGGGAGGGGGTGTGAGGGCTGAGGTGCGGGAAACACAAGAAATGCGGTCAAGAGCATTTTTGACCACTGAAGGGGAGAAGTTGAAAAACGAAAACATCTGGGATGTCTGGGAGTGGAACACCTCATCTTGGGAGAAGATGCGGCGGAGGCAGAGGAATTGGGAATAGGGGATCGCATTCTTGCAGGAAGGTGGGTGAGAGGAGGTGTAGTCTAGGTAGCTGTGGGATTCGGTGGGCTTGAAACAGATATCGGTTTTGAGGTGGTCACCAGAGATGGAAACAGAGGTTCAGGAAGGAGAGAGAGGTATCAGAGATGGTCCGGGTGAACTTGAGGTTGGGGTGAAAGGTGTTAGTAAAGTTGATGAACTGTTCGAGCTCCTAGTGGGAGCACGAGGTGGCGCCAATATAGTCATCGATGTAACGGAGGAAGAGGTGGGGTTTAGGGCCAGTGTAGCTGCGGAAAAGGGACTGGTCCGCATATCCTACAAAGAGGCAGGTGTAGCTTGGGCCCATGCGGGTACCCATGGCCACCCCCTTTCGTCTGTAGAAAGTGGGAGGAGTTGAAGGAGAAGTTTGGTTAGGCAGATAAGGGTGTCGGTGGAGGGGGACTGTTCGGGCCTGCGGAAGAGGAAGAAGCGGAGGGCTTTTAGGCCATCTGCATGGGGAATGCAGGTGTATAGGGACTGGATGTCCAATCTCCACCTCTTCTCCTCTTCTCCACCACCTGGTGGCCCAGAGGGATTTACAATGTCCACACCACACACTGAGCAGGGGTCTGGCTTGTCCCCGGGGACCGGCAGATTTGAGGGAGAGGGAGAGCCTGCTGCAAACCCTCGAGGCTCTGGATCAACCAGACCACAGCACAGGAGGGGGAAGAGGCACTGTGGGCTCACCCCGGGGGGAGGAACAGCACCTGACCCTGGTGACAGGGAAGTCCTTCCCCTGCAGGAAGCAGAGCCTCTGCTGGATTGTGATGGCGGCCTCCATTCCCCTGCCACTCCTGGTCTCTCTTAGTTTCTTGCTCCTTCCCCTGATCCTCTCAAAGAGGCTGGGGTTGGGTATGGGAGTGAAGGGTTTGGGAAATATTGCTGTTGTAATCTCCAGCCCTGACTTGGGGCCCTTGCACTGAAATGTTGAAGGCCGAGGACTGGGCACTGGATCACCGCACTGGGGCAATGCAGGACTGGAAAGCCCTACGTGTGAACTGCACTGAAGGGACATAGTTGAGACTTAGACGTGAGGCGCTGCAGGGATGCATCAGGTAGGGGGCAGGGGGTGGAGGTGGGGTGGTAGAGGCACCTCTAGGTGCCTCATCTTGCTCACTCCTTCCAATGACCATTGGGCATCAGAGTGGCACACAAACCTAAGTCAACCCTATGCCAACTGCTAACTTGAACCAAAGACCCCTTACCGACTATGGATAGAACCAACGTGATATACAAGATTCAATGCAAGGACTGCGACAAACATTACATTGGACAGTCAGGTAGGAAACTGGCCACAAGAGTACACGAACACCAACTAACAACAAAAAGACATGCCCAGTACTCACTCATCTCCATTCACATGGATAAGGAGAACCACCAGTTGAGTGGGACAACATCAGGATCCTAGGACAGGCCAAACAGAGACAAGCACAGGAATTCCTAGAGGCCTGGTTCTCCACCAAGAAAGCCATCCATAGACACGTAGAATTAGACTCTATATATACACGACTGTGAAGAAAAACCGGAAATGAGGTAACGAATTCCAACGGATACCAGAGTTTAAATAACAGGTGGGAAAACGCAACGGCGCTTCATCAGGGGCTGATGATGTTACCCAGCAGGGTAATGAAACATCCGCGGAACAACAACGAACCAGCTTGGCGAGCCAACCAACCACATCACTCCTTCCTCCCCACCAGAAGCCATGATGACAGAGACATGTGGCTTATGTCCAGTTTGTAGGGCCCCATGTGTTGTTTTCCAAAGGTGTTTGCAGTGTCACCAGTGTTGCTTTGGTGATCTTAAAGGTGGAACAATTCCTTCTAACATGCCCCACCTCCTTACACAAGTGACACCACACTCCATCCGCTGTCCAGAGGGTGCGATAGGCTGTACCTTCATGGAACACAGTGAAGGTCCCCTCAATCACCTCCTCTCGGGCCATGCTGACAAAGATTAGGGTCGGAAGGAATAGGTATGTCAGAGCTTGTTCTTCAGTCCAAGACAGATGGGCAATATCCCTAACCTCACCTTCCTCCAGCTGCCATGGGGAGGAAGAGATCACTGGCAACAAACACAGGATGTTGGAGACTCTGAGCCTGCGTGCCATGATCTCTAAGGAATTCACCAGCAACTAGATCCCACCCTAAGTAACCTTTTTCCAAGCCAGGTTCACTGCCTGCTCAGTCCAAATTAAAAAGACAGACTTGCTTAGACACTGTGACAGTGGATGGAGAACCAGCTACACCAGCCATTGTCTTCGTGCAGTCCCGTGTCCAAGTGGGTATAACGTTTTACTCCCAGGCTCTTTGTCAAGAGCCTGAACAGTGATAGGGCTGTAGCCACCACTGGGGCTGAAGCAGGAGCAGCTGCCCCAGCATAGGAGCGACCGATCCCTGCCACAGATAACATTGGTGTGGAATTGGTCATCGTACTTCAAGCCACGCCGTCCAGCGTGGATTAATGGGCCATAGGTAGCAGGAGAGTTTGCAGCAACTGCCTAAGGAGCCTCCAGGCAGCACATAGCAACTCCCACTCAGGCCCAGGCAACAGCACCAACCTTAACTTTCCGTAGCAGTATAGGTCCATGTTTCAAAGTTTCAGCCTTCAGGCCCCTCTCTTTCCAGATCCACCTCCCTTCTACCTTTCCCTTTCCAGGTTGCTCTCTCTCTTTCTCTCTCTCTCTGAGTGCTTTTCCTTCACACAAACTTAAGAGTATTAACTGGATAGATGTCAGATTGGTTCAGTTGGTATGCTTCACACATGAGACTTCACAAAATTTCAGATGTAACAAGAACCGAGAGTTTTCCACTGTCCCAGACAAGATCCAACCAACTGTCCCAGATACAGATGAACTTACCTTTTTTTTTGTGGTAGAGACGATAAATATTTTAAATGCTGGAAATCTAAAATGCAAACAAAAATGCTGAAAATTCTCAGCAGGTCACACAGCATGAGAAAAAAAAGTTAATGTCTCAAGTCCAATGATGTTTCAATCACAGTCCTGATGAAAAGGTACAGGCTGGTTGGATACAGTTATGAAAAATCAAAGGGATTTACTGTTTGATATGATCCACCAGTCTCTTGGTACAATTACATACCTGGTGTAACACTAGTGCTCTGAAATTCATATCACATATTGCTAATTTGTGTGTTAGGCAGAAAATCTTTTTGGCTTGATAGCAGCATATGACTGTGGCACAAAGTGGCAAATGCCACTCATATTACAACAGAAATAGTATAACCCAACCAGCCTGCACTTACTAAACTCCCAGCAGTGTCCAACATTAAATGAAGTTCAGCAATTGGGAGGCATTTTCTGGATAATCCTGAGTGTGTGAAGCTGGTAACCAATTGAGGATTGTCAGTCAAGCTTGCAGTGTGGAGCATGCAACAGAAGCTGGATATATTTGCACACACTGAGCCCTGTTCTTTGCAAACAGAAGGAACAAGTGCACATACCACACCTGCTTCAAACTCAACTAAATAGGTGACAGCCATTCATTTCCCGGGCAATGTCTTGACCAAAACAGAGTTCACCAGCCTGGTTTGAAGTCTAAACGAAATCTGGCAGAGCTTTGACTATCAATCATCATTGATAGTTGCATTCTCCATGGCAACACCCCTACCAATCAGGGTTTTCTTGCCAACCAATCAGCATTCTCCTCCTGCAGTATAAATGTTGGCTTCCCCAAGCTCCCCGCTGCAACCCTTTTGGTATTTCTTGTGAATTGCTGATTTGGTGCAAAACAAAAAACTTTGACAGTGTGACTTTTCTCAACAATACTCAATGTCTAATTTCTCACCTGACCTGGTGATCTCTTATCAGTCACGGAACTGATGATTTTCCACACTCTACAGATTACCAATTGTATTTTGTTTATCCAGCTATATCTCATTGGTTAATTGTACCTATTGCTATGTGCTGTGTCTCTCCACAGTTGCCCCCCAGATTGCCATGTATCCTGAAGAGCCTGTTGAATGGGGGCAGCCCAACACATTGATCTGTCTGGCTGATAGATTCTACCCTCCACACATCAGCATGACATGGTTGAGGAACAGTGAGCCAGTGACTGACGGAGTCAACATTACGGAGTTCTATATGAAACAGGATTATTCCTACCAGAGATTCACATACCTGAGCTTCATCCCGAATCCTGGAGACATGTATTCCTGTCATGTGGAACATGAGGGGCTGCAGGAACCAGCGACTGTATTCTGGGGTCAGTATTGATTTGATAATTTGGAAACTGAGATTAGAATTGATTTATGACAAGCTGCTGTGTAATACCCAAACTGTACTAGTTAATCTTTCTTCTTTAATTGGCTGACATATTCCTTACATTTCAGCAAAGACTACACTTCAAAATTACTTACTTGGCTGTGGAGCACTTTGGAATATAATGAGACTATGAAAGGCACAATGTAACTGAAAATTTAATCCTGCTTTGAAAGGTTAATCCACATAAAATGGAAAAATGATTTCCAATGTGTTTGGTGCTCCTAAATCCATCTGTAGCGGATGTTCAGCTCCTGACCAAATGTTATATTTTCACATTGCATAATATCCAATAAGATAACAGTGAACCTGAAACGTTAGATAATGCTCGGTAAATTAGCCAGCCTCGGTTCTGCGGAAGCTACATAAGGAGCAAAATCCTAGCATCGTGCCAAGTGCAACATGTGTGTGTTACATTTTGTTTTTTTTTGTCTTGTGTATTTTAGATATTTTTGATCTCCCATATTTTAGATTATTTTCTTTTTCTTCAGTTTTTCATTCATTGGACTACCTTCAGAAATACTGATTTTGTTAATGATACTTAACTAATGAACTGAAAACGTTTTGAGCTACAAGATATATTCTGCGCCTCCTTGAAATATAATTTCAACTCAATGTTTTATATTTTAACCATGAAACAAATTAATTGAAGACAAAATGAAGAAGTGTTTTTTCCATAATTTAATCTGTAATTTTCACATTAATTCACTGAATATTATCTCTTATTTATCTCTGTATTGTTCCTTCCCACAAGATTATAAGATCATAAGAAATAGGAGCAAGCGAAGGCTTTTTAGCATGTCGACCTTGTTCAGCGAATCAATAAAATCATTTATCATCCAATTGTAGCTTCAGTTCCACTCCCTGTCTATCCTGAAACCTTTGTTAGCCAAGAATCTATGTTTGGAAAATATCCATTGATCCTCAAAGATGCCCACCCCATGCAGCTCTCCCACTCAAATCAACAACTCTGCTGTCCACAGCAAAACCACACCCCCCTGCAATTTTTACTCTGGAGCCACTGTAGACTAACTATCCGATAGTAAGCAGAAACCTATCTCCTTCCTTTCTTGCATACAGGTGTTACATTTGTGACTTTCCAATCTGCTTGGACATTTACAGAATCGAGGGACTTTTAGAAGATTACAACTATTATCTCGACGCTCACTTAATTTGAAACTGACCATCTGGTACAGGGGACTTGTTGGTATTTAGTTCCATCTGATTTCTGAGTAGTTTTTCTCTGGTGCTGTGATTGTTTTAGTTCTGCTTCTCTGTTTTCCCACTGCATTTGTACTATACTTGGGAAGTTTTTTTGTGTTTTCTACTGTGAAGACAAACAGAAAAAAAGTCTTGGTTCTTTTCCATTTCCTTGTTTCCGGTTATTAATTCCTCATCCTCTGAGGCCATACTGAGGTTGAAGAGAGAGGGAAGACTGTCTTCATACTCATGATATTGATGGTTTGATTGAGTGGGTGGAAAAGTGGCAAATGGAATCAAATTCCATTATGCATTTGGGGAAGTCAAACATAGCGAGGGAGAACACTATAAATGGGAGGGTATTGAGAGCAGTAGAAGTGAGAGATCTTGGAGTTCGTGTCCACAGATCCCAGAAGATACAGGACAGGTAGAGAAGGTGGTAAAGAAGGCATATGGGATACTTTACTTCATTGGGTGAGGTACTGAATACAAGAGCAGGAATGTAATGCTGAAATTATAAAAGACACTGATTAGGCCACAGCTGGAGTTTTTTGTACAGTTCTGGTCACATTACAGCAAGGATGTAATTGTTCAAACGTGATTACTTTTGATCTGGTTTACTTATTGTTGGATGTATTTTGTTACAAAATACAGTGAAAAGTGTTGTATAGTGTCACCACTCTCTAATGTCATCTTAAAACACAGGAAAAAAAACCCGAAACATAGAATATAAAGGCAGAAAAATAAAGAAATAAAGAAATGTTCAACTTTACAGTCCTTCCTGTTAAGTGCTCCATCATGGGCCATGGGTCTGGTCGACAGGTCCAAGTCCCCTTTGCTGTGCAGCTGCCACTAGAATGAAAGTCACCACTCATCAGCGCCATCTTGCCTCCACCGAAGCCCTTGCCACTATGACACCTCAATGGATGTCGCCAATGCAGACGCCACTGATGTCGATGGGTACTACGCTCGTCCAAACCCAACTGCGCCAGCACCATGAAACCGTTTCATGCCCATCTAGCTGATGCCGCCAGGTCTTGTACTGGGCCCAAACTCACCACCACCACAACCGCCATGAATTGGCGCTGGGCGCAGATACTGCTGGGAGCCCAAACTCGCTGTTGCTGCCGCAGCAGCCATGAGTCAGCCCAAGGACCACCTCGATGATGCAAAAGTTGCTGAGAAAACCAAAACACTCTCCACACCGCCACCTCGAGTCTGCGCTGGGCTTATTTGCTGCCACTGATGCCGTCACTGCAATCAAGCTCTTCAACAGAGATAAGAAAAATAAAATGTAAAAGGAAAATAAATGAGAAAACCGAGAAAATAAAGAGGAGAAACTATAAGAAAAGTGGACAGAGTCAACAAACCCTGGGCTCAGAACCTATACTCCATTGCCATCTTGCCAAAGTACCAGAACAGAGGAGTTACACAAGCTTTACAACTGTGGTTTAAAAACTGAAGCTATGAGGAATGAGTGGGTAGAATTCCTACAATGCAGAAAAAGGCCAATCGGCCCATCAAGTCTACACTGACCATCCAAAGACCATCCCATCCAGACCCAGCCCTATTCAATCTCTCTTCAGTACAACCAAGGAGGCAGTGGAGTGTAAGCCTCCTGAGTTGGAGCCCATCCACTCTGACTGCCTATCTTTGTTCTTTTCTTGCTTTTTTTTTCTTTTCTGCTTTTTTTTTAGTATTTCTCTCTACTTACCTTCTGGAAGAAGCTTGGTCGTGGAGGCAGTGGCAGCACTGGCAGGGTCTAAGGGCCCAGAGCAGGGTCTTTGGCCACAAAGTGGTTGGTGAACCTAGGCAGAACTCTGGTTGTCCGTGGCAACTTAGAAGTGGCTGCAGGCCTGGATCGCCACCAGGGTGGGACTCTGGAAGCCTGTGACGAAGCAGCTGGTGAGCCAGCAGTGAGAAGGCTGACAGACTGAGCCCAGCACAGGAGAGATAGATCAAGCCCTAGGGGGAAAGCCCAACATGGAGCGACTGCAGGCCCATGGTTAAAGAAGGATTTTAATTTGGGACTTAAACTTTATTTCTTTGTACTGAAAACAACTGTAATGTTGAACTTTTATTTCTTTATTTTTCTACTTTCTACCTAAGATTTTGTACCCAGGCACCTTTGTACCTAAGACGGCACCAGGAATGTCACATTATACACTCTTCACTGTATTCATGTACCCCTATACTTGAGTACACATGACAATAAACTTAATTCTATTTTAAATTCTAACCCTATAACACTGCATTTCCCATGGCCAATCCACTTACCTGCACACCTTTGGACTGTAGGAGGAAATTAAAGCACCAGGAGGAAACCCACACGATAAACGCTTCCCTGTTTTTAAATTCCATGTTAATAAAAGACAAAATTCCATCTGCATTCTAAATTTTTGTTTGCCTCGTTCACCTTTGCTGACCACACGTTGCTCATGACGCCTGAGGCATCTATCTTTTCTATATGGTTTTCTCATCCCAACATATTCCCTGTGCCTCCTAATAAATTGCTACTCCTCCATCACACATTAATCCTTTATAATAGAAGCATAGTAAGTAGGAGCAGGAGTAGGCCATTCAGCCCTTTGAGCTTGCTCCACTATTCAATATGATCATGCCGATCCTCCAATTCAGTGCCTTGTTCCTACTTCCTTCCTGGATCTTTTGATTCTTTTAGCCCTTGAATGATATAAATTGCTTCTTGAAAATAATTTTGGTCTCAGTGGTTTTCTGTGGCAGAGAATTCAAGAGACTCCCCACTATCTGGGTGAAGAAATTTCTCTTCATCCCTGTCCTAAATGGCCTCGCCACATCCCTAGACTATGACCATCAGAAACATCCTTCCTGCATTTACTCTATCTAGCCCTGTTAGAGTTTTATAGGTTTCTAGGAGATTCCCCCATCATTCTTCTAACTCTAGTGAATATAATCCTAACTGATCCAGCCTCTCTTCATGTGTCAATCTGCCAGCCCAGAAATCAGATTGACAGCTCTTTGTTGCGCCCCGTCCCTAGCCAGAACATCTTTTGTCAGATGAGGCGATCAAAACGTGTACACAATACTGCAGGTGTGGCCTCACCAAGGCCCTGTACAACTGCAGCTGGACATCCCTGCCCCTGTACTCGCGAAACCTCTCACTATGAAGGCCAACATACCATTTGCCTTCTTCACCACCTGCTGCACCTATATGCTTACTTTCAGTGACTGTTTTACATCACTTTCCATATCTATCACCATTCAGATAATAATCTGTCATCCTGTATGTGCTACCAAAATGGATAACATCTCATTTATCCATATTAGACTTCATCTACTAATAATAAACACTCATTCTGTAAAATGTGCTCCCTGATCTGAATTATCTGTAATGGTATTCCCTACCTAGGTATTACCTCCTCCACAATTCCTCAAACAACATTTGTCACTGAACAGTTTCTTGCAGGATAGGCTTCCACCCACCTTGTAAATTGGTTAACAATGATCAAACAATATGATTTTCCCCAATTTAGTGAAAGGGGTTTTGTCAAATCATAGCCACAGAGATCTACAGCACAAAAAAATTGCTCCAGTGCCAGTCAAATACAACCTCCTAACAATTCTAATTCCATTTTTCAGCACTTGGCCCACAGACTTGTATATCTTGGCATCACAAGTGCACATCTATATACTTCTTAAATGTTATGAAGATTTCTGCCTCTACCACTCTTACAGGCAGTAATCAATTTGCAACTGCTCTCATGG